AGTGGTAGAGTGCTAGCCTTGAGCAGAAGAAGCTCAGACACAGTGCCCAGGCCCTGAGTTCAAGCCCCAAGACTGACAAAACAGAAAGAAAGAAAGAAAGAAAGAAAGAAAGAAAGAAGGAAAGAAAGAAAGAAAGAAAGAAAGAAAGAAAGAAAGGAAGGAAGGAAGGAAGGAAGGAAGGAAAGAAAAGAAAGAAAGAAAGAGGGAAGGGAGGAAAGGGAGGGGAGGGGAGGGAAGAAAAGAAAAGAAAGGAAAAGAAAAGCACTAGATATAGACACCAATGGATCACACTTGTAATCCTAGCTACTTAGAAGGCTGAAGATCTGAGGATTATGTTTCAAAGCCACCTGGGGAAGTAAAGTCTGTGAGACCCTTATCTACAATTAGCCCCCAAAAAGCTGGGAGTGGAGCCACGGCTTAAGTTGGTGAGCACTAACTTTGAGGGGGAAAAAAAAAAAAAGGCTATGGACAGTGTCCAGATCCTGAGTGCCCAGACCCCAGGACCAGCAGGGAAAAAAAAAATAAAGTATTGGAAAGAAACACACAGAAGAAATATTAGTAGTATTTCTTTGGATACTAAGGTTATGACTAACATTTTCTTTTGTCCATGTGCTAAATTTTACTTAATGAATATGTACTTGTTTGATGATGAAGTAATAAAGGATGGAAGAGCTTATCTCAGCCCAGTGAAGCCGAGATCTGAAGATCAGAGTTTGAAGTTGGCCCAACAGGAAAGTCTATAAGATGCTTATCTTCAAGTGGAGCTGTAGTTCAAGTGGTAGTGTACCAGCCTTGAGCAAAAAAGCTAAGGAACAGAGCCCAGGACCTGCATTCAAGCTCCACTACTGCCTAATTAAGAGCAATATCATTCAGTAGGTGTGCTAATTAAATCTTTAACCTTTCTAGTCATCATAAGTAATAAGTCAGAATATATGTGCTGAAGGGGCATCTTGCCAAATTTTTTTTTTTGGGGGGGGTCCGGTCATGGGGCCTGAACTCTGGGCCTGGGCACTGTCCCTCAGCTCTTCAGCTCAAGGCTAGCACTCTACCACTTGAGCCACAGCGCCACTTCTGGCTTTTTTTTTTTTTCTGCTTATGTGGTGCTGAGGAATCAAACCCAGGGCCTCATGCATGCAAGGCAAGCACTCTACCACTGAGCCACCTTCCCAGCCCGCATCTTGCCAAATTTTGTCACCTGACAAGTGTGTGAAAAAAGAATTATAGCCAGGTACTGGTGGCTCATGCTTGTAATCATAGCTGTTTAAGAGGCTGAGATCTGAGGACTGTGGTTCAAAGCTAGCCTGGGCAGGAAAGTCCATGAGACTCTTAACTCCAATAAACTACTCAAGGCAGCCAAAGTGGTGCTGTGGCTCAAGTGGTAGAGAGCTTGCCTTGAGCAAAAGCAGCTCAGGGACAGCAAGGCTGTCAAGCCCCAGGACTGATATAAAAATAAAAATAACAAAGAATTGTCTGGTGCTTTACACTTTACAAAGCAATCTGACAATGCCTCATTTTAAGAATCAGGAAACTGAGAGGCAGAAATAATCTGCTTTTATAATAATGCTTACTATTCATGGGGTGTTTACTATGTGCCAAGCTCTGGGTTAAGCCTAATCCTGTAAAATTTACCCCCATTTTACAGATTAAAAAAAAAAAATACCCATGAGACTTAAGTGACTTCTCCAGAATCATACCACTAAGAGACACTCATTCAAAGCCATATATTTATAATAGAAGCCTTCAGCAGTGGCTCATGCCGGTAATCCTAGCTACTCAGGGAGGCTGAGATCTGAGGATCATGGTTCAACGGCAGCCAGGGCAGAAAAGTCTATGACACTCTGATCAACTAACCAGCAAAAAGCCCTAAGTAAAATAAGTGGGCTAAAGACTTAAAGAGAAGCTTCTCTGAAGAGGAAAGAAGGATGGCCAATAGACACATGAAGAAATGCTCAACCTCCCTAGCCATAAAAGAAATGCAAAATCAAAACAACATTAAGATACCACCTCACCCCAGTTAGAATGGCTATAATCAAGAACTCTAATAACAACAGATGCTGGAGGGGATGTGGACAGAAGGGAACTCTACTGCATTGTTGGTGGGAGTGTAAACTTGCTCAACCACTTTGGAAAGTAGTATGGAGATTCCTCAAGACTCCACATAGACCTCCCCTATGACCCAGCAATTTGGGCATTTACACAAATGTTCACAAACAAGACCACACTAAAGCTACCAGCACGACTATGTTTATTGCAGTATTATTTACCATAGCTAAGATATGGATCCAACCCAGATGCCCCTCAGTAGATGAATGGATCAAGAAAATGTGGTATATATACACAATGGAATTCTATGCCTCCATCAGAAAGGATGACATTGCCCCATTTGTTAGGAAATGGAAAGACTTGGAAAAAATTACATTAAGTGAAGTTAGCCAGGCCCAAAGAAACATAAGTCCCATGGTTTCCCTTATTTGCAATAACTAGTATATGTCTGAGTCAAGCAGAAAAGGTCAGATAAGTTGATGTTAGGGAAATGAACCCTAAGATATGTATTCAAATGTTTTTTTTCTTTCATGCGATTGTTTCTAACACATTCATAATATTATGTCTTTGTTGCTTTGTATGTCCCTCCCCTGCTTTCACTGTATTTGATGTTGTTATAATTTGTAGAGGGGAGGGGGAAAAAATCGTTTAACTAGGGATACAGGTGGACCCATTGCAACAATGAGACATACAAGTCGTATGTGGAAATCGAACTTTACAACTTTGGTAGGAGGGAGGAGGAGGGTTGGGGGGGGGCAGGCGGGGGAGGAAGGGATGGGAAGGGGAAACAAAGGAGGAGGCTACAATGCTTGATAAGAAATGTACTCATCAAGCGGAAAAAGTCAGAGAATGTGATGTTAGGAAAACGAACCCTCAAATATGTATTTTAATGTTTTTGTTTCTTTCATGCATGTGTTTCTAACGCATTTATAAGATTATTTCTTGGTTGCTTTGTATGTCCCTCCCCCACAGTGTAACCCCCGCTTTCACTATATTTGATGTCAGTATAACTTGTGGAGGAGACGGGGACAAACAAGTCGTTTAAGGATTCAGGTGGACCTGTTGCAACAATGAGAAGTACAAAATGTCATGTCAAAACCAGCTTTACAATGTCGGTGGGGGGGGGGGGGGGTATGATTGGGTGGGGGGGAGGGGGGAGGCTGGGAAGGGAGGTGAAGGGTAAACAAAGGAGGAGGCTGCAATGCTTGGCAAGAAATGTATGCATTATCCTGCCCATGTAATTGTAACCCCTCTGTACAGTATGTTCTCAAATAAAATAAAATTAAATTAAAAAAAAAAAAAAGAAAGGTACTCATTATCTTGCCATGTAATTGTAACCGCTCTGTACAGTATTTCCACAAAAAAAAAAAAAAAAGCCCTAAGTAAAAGTGTGACTCAAGTGGTGGATCTCCAGCCCTGAGAAAGAAAAGCCAAGCAAGAACGCAAATCCTGAATTCAAGCTCCAGTACTGGTGTGTATGCATAAACAAAACATAAGCGTTTAGTTGTACATAATTCAACTCTGCAGGGCCCCTTAGAGAAAGAATTGGCCTTTGACCCAGTTTCTGGGCTCTTTTACACCAGTCCTTGACTTAGTGTGGGGGTTAGGAGTGGATCGTAGTAGCAGAGCCCTGGGCTTCGCAAGAGCAAGACAGCACCCCAAAAAAAAGAAAGAAAGAGGGAGGGAGAAGTGGGAGGGAAGTAGGAAGGAAGAGAGGGGGGGGGGTAGAGAAAGTTGGTCTCAATGTCACACTGTGGATCCGGCATCAAAAACCGAAGGCAATGTTTACTAAAGATCCGGTTCGCAAGTCACAGACATGGCACCTCAAATGCCCCATCTTCGCTCCCTCCAACTCGCAGAACTTGGCACCATTTTTAGGGCACCTTCGGGTTCATTCTCAAGGGATCAACTCGGGGCTGGCTGTCGGGGATTAATCCCACATCACCCACTCCCCAAGGCTCGCCGAACAGGGCCAGGGCCAGGGCCGGAAGCCTCGGGAGCCTGAGCGCCTCCGCCCGGGCTCGCGGCGGGAACCAGGCCCGGGGAGGCCGGGGAGGCCGGGGAGGCCCGGGGAGGCCGGGGTGGCCGGGGAGGCCGGGGAGGCCGGGGTGGCGGGGGAGTCCGGGGAGGCCGGGGAGGCCGGGGAGGCCGGGGTGGCCGGGGAGGCGGGGGAGGCCGGGGTGGCCGGGGAGGCGGGGGAGGCCGGGGTGGCCGGGGTGGCCGGGGAGGCGGGGGAGGCGGGGGAGGCCGGGGAGGCGGGGGAGGCGGGGGAGGCCGGGGTGGCGGGGGAGGCCGGGGAGGCGGGGGAGGCCGGGGAGGCCGGGGAGGCCGGGGAGGCGGGGGAGGCGGGGGAGGCCGGGGAGGCCGGGGAGGCCGGGGAGGCGGGGGAGGCCGGGGTGGCCGGGGAGGCCGGGGAGGCCGGGGAGGCCGGGGAGGCCGGGGAGGCGGGGGAGGCGGGGGAGGCGGGGGAGGCCGGGGAGGCGGGGGAGGCCGGGGAGGCCGGGGAGGCCGGGGAGGCGGGGGAGGCCGGGGAGGCCGGGGAGGCCGGGGAGGCCGGGGAGGCGGGGGAGGCGGGGGAGGCCGGGGAGGCCGGGGAGGCCGGGGAGGCCGGGGAGGCGGGGGAGGCCGGGGTGGCCGGGGAGGCCGGGGAGGCCGGGGTGGCCGGGGAGGCCGGGGAGGCCGGGGAGGCCGGGGAGGCCGGGGAGGCGGGGGAGGCCGGGGAGGCCGGGGTGGCCGGGGAGGCCGGGGAGGCCGGGGAGGCCGGGGAGGCGGGGGAGGCGGGGGAGGCGGGGGAGGCGGGGGAGGCCGGGGTGGCCGGGGAGGCGGGGGAGGCCGGGGTGGCCGGGGAGGCCGGGGAGGCCGGGGAGGCCGGGGAGGCCGGGGAGGCCGGGCCGCCGCCCTCCCTGCCGGAGGGGACGGGGCATCGGGAGGCCGGTCCGGGGCGCCTCGCTACTCACGCTGGACCAGACGGTCGCCGGTGAAGGCAGAGGAGCAGCTGGTGACCAGTGCACAGGGGACGCCCGCAGCCATCGCCGCGCTCGGGAGCCGGGGCCGTGCGGGCGCCGGGGCCGTGCGGGCGCCGCTTCCGCCTTGGGCTGTACCACTGGCGGCCGGCGTGCAGGGGGGGCGGGGAGGAGGAGACTCGCTTCACTCGGCCGGCTCCACAGTCAACCCTTTTCCGCTTCCGGGGTGGAGCCGGCCGGGCTGCGCCGAGCGTTACCAAGGGAACGAGTGCCCGCCCCTCGAAGGAGGCGGCTACACCGGGAGGCCGCACCTCGGCTGAGAGGCGGCCCTTTCCCTCCCGAACCATGGCGCAGGGGACTGACAGCCAGGACCCCATAGGAAGCATCTTAATTCAGGTGGGGAAACGGGCCTCCCTTGGCCCTTCATGGGAGGCCCCTCGGCGCTGGTACACACCTGGGCACCCATTTGGAGCATCGCGCCCGCCAGCCTTCCGTGCGGGGTCCCAAGATGAGGACCTTGCTCCCCCACTGCAGACTAAGCTGGGCCCTGGGCCCTACCCTGCCCCCCCCCCCCGACTCCGCCTCTCTGCTGGTCGACCTCGCTCTGAGCTCTGCCTCGCTTCAAAACAATCTTACCTCAAAACACCGCTTTAAAATCATCCAGCGTGCTGGGGATGTGGCTCGGTGGTAGAGTGCTTGCTAGCATGCATGAAGCCCTGGGTTCGATTCCTCAGTACCACACAAACAGAAAAAGCTGGAAGTGGCGCTGTGGCTCAAGTGGTAGAGTGCTAGCCTTACGCACGCCGAGGCTGGGACAGTGCCCAGGCCCTGAGTTCAAGCCCCAAGACTGGCAAATAAAAAATAAAATAATGAAAACTAAAAATACATTCAGAAGTTAGTAATCCTAGCTACTCAGGAGGCTGAGATCTGAGTATTGAGGTTCAAAGCCAGCCTGGGCAGGAAAGTCTTAAGAGACTCTTATCTCCAATTAACTACCAAAAAGCCAAAAATGGAGCTGTGGCTCCTAGTGTTAGAGTGCTATCTGTGAGCACAAAAATTCAGGGAGAGCTTCAAGGGCCTGGATTCAAGCACCAGGATACACACACACACACAAACACACACACACACACACACACACACAAATTCAGGGAGAGCTTCAAGGACCTGAATTCAAGCACCAGGATACACACACGCACACACACACACACAAATACATTTAGAAAAAGAAAGGTGTGGTGACTCATGCCTGTGTCCTGTTCAGGAGGTTGAGATCTGAGTATTGAGGTTCAGAGCCAGCCAGGGCAAGAAAGTCTGGCTGAGTCTTAGGTCCAGTTAACAATCCAAAAGCTGGAAGGAGCTGTGAGTTGAGTGGTAGAGATCTAGCCTTCAGCACAAAAGCTGAGGAGTAGTGCCTCATGGTAGGTCCTGAGTTAATACCTCCATACCACACACACAAAGTATGTATTCAGAAACTTTGGGCCAATGACTTGGGAGAGTGGAAAAGAAGCAAATCATATAGATGAGGTGATAAGTTTGGGGAAAAATGGAAATGTGTAAGTTCTTTTTTCTTAGCACCTCAGTTTTTTTAATGCTTTATTTGGGAATGCATACTGAGGAAAAATATATTAAAGATCATTTGAATTGCAAGTTAACTTTTTTTGTTGTTTCGGTCATAGGGCTTGAACTCTGAGCCTGGGTGCTATCACTGAGCTCTTCAGCTTAAGGTGAACGCTCAAGTTAACATTTTTAAATACAGAAATGTATGCTATTAAAAAACCAAAATTTTTTAGTATTAAATAATTCCTAATCCAAGGGAAAAAAAAATATAAAGTTTTGACTTCTCAGTGTAATTTGGTTTCTAAAAATTACACTCAGGGGCTGGGAAGGTGGCTCAGTGGTAGAGCACTTGCTTTGCATGCATGAGGCCCTGGGTTCGATTCCTCAGCACCACATAAGCAAAAAGAAAAAAGCCAGAAGTGGCGCTGTGGCTCAAGTGGTTGAGCGCTAGCCTTGAGGTGAAGAGCTGAGGGACAGCGCCCAGGCCCAGAGTTCAGGCCCTCCCACACACAAAAAAAAATTTACACTCAGATTTTTCTGAAGTGGTTAAAGAGCTTTAGCATCTTTCCATGTGTATCATCTTTTCTCTCCCACTTTGGTGCTTGACCTTGGCTCTTCTTGCTCTAGCCTTTTCTTTTTCTTCTACTCTCTGTGAGAGCTTTACTACTTGGCCTACACCCCTGCTTCCTGCTGATTAATAGAAGGTAAGTTTCTCAGATTTGTCTGCCTCTGCCAGCCTTGAACCTTGATCCTCAAATCTCAGCCTCCTAGGTAGCCAGAATTATAGGTATGCACCACTTTAGGTCTTGTATCTTTTAACTCTGTTATCTGGCCTCACTTGACTAGAGCTTGAAATAATTTGTGGAAGGTCTCTGTCAGGACTCTCAGTAGGTCAGAAATGGGACTCATTTTCTCAGGGATCATTTTTTTCTGTCTGGAATTTTAATCTTTTTTCCCTATCTAGGACTCTTAAATTTAACTTTCCCAAAATACAAGACCCTAAACACCATTTTCAAAGATATCCCCATCACAAATTGTATGTTAAATCTTTCACCATCCTGTTATTACAAAGTAATGAGTTGAGTCAAACTGCAAAATCAAAGATCTAACAATCCCAACGGTGCCCTCACTTAGACCCCAGCACAAATGTAGTAGTCACCAGAATTGTCCTCACTTAGAGCTGGCTACAAGTTTAGGGACCCTCAGATTTGATTAAACAACAACAATAAAAAAAAACTTACAGAACTCCAGGAGGTACCACAATTACTATTATGATTTTATCACTGTGAAAGATAACAAAGGCCAAAGGCAAACAAAGGAAGAGACGCACAGGACAGAATCAAAGAGGCATCCAAATGGTCTCCCCTATGGAGTCATGAGACATCATTACCTCTTCCTAACCACAATGCCTGACAGTACGCTCAGGGTATTGCTAGCTGTAAGGTTTTGTTGAAAGGAGACCACCACATAGTTCAGGCAGAAAAGAGTTTATTGGGGGGGAGAGCATACTGCAGGTCTGAACAAGATAGAAGCATCCAGGGGGTGCAAAGGATGCAGGAGAAGGGAAAGGAAAGGAAAATGGGGGAAACTGGCAAGGGGAAATCTGCAAGGGGGCCAGGGGCAAAACAAGGGACAGAACTAATGATGGAGACTCATAAATAGGGAGAGGGTGGGAGGAGGTGTAGCCCCAGCAAGGAAGGCATCAGAGGGGGGTGGGGGAAATCCTTCCACTGCCCCCAGGTGCACCAGTTACACTAGCTACAAAAGCTTACTTGGGCCTTTGGTGGCTAGAGTTTGGGATTCAAACTCAAAAGGTCCCTCAGGCTTCAGTTCCTCCCAGACTAATGCTTTTAAGTTTCCTGATTTGGCATGGCTCAACCCCCCCCCATCAAAAAACCATGTTAGACTAATGCTTAAAGCATCCAGACAGTTACTTCTATCAGGCAGGAACGTTCCAAGGATCTAGTCATCACTTCTCAGTAGACAAGGGCAAAGGTAAGACCTCTCTTTGGGTAAAATTAAGTTTTCACCTCACATTATCCTCTTTTTATAGATCCAAGCTATCAGAACTGTAGTGGAGACACCTCCCTAGAAACAGCCAGTCTGCCCTGTCTTTCAACATCATGTTGATTATAGGAGCAATCAAGTTTCTCTAGTTCCCCAAACCTGGACTAGAAAAAGAAACTAAAATCTTGGGAGAATTCTGATTTCCATCTGCATAATTTCTCTTGAGGTAATTCTGTTTCAATAATCTATTCCCCTTGTGGTTTGGAATCCTGTATCAAAAACCAGAATTCAGCTGGTGCTGGTGGCTCACGCCTGTAATCCTAGCTACTCAGGAGGCTGAGATCTGAGGATCACTGTTCAAGGCCAGCCCAGGCAGGAAAGTCCTTGGGACTCTTATCTCCAATAAACAATTAAAAAACTGGAAGTGGTGCTGTGGCTCAAGTGGTAGAGCGCTCGTCTTGAGCTGAAGAGCACAGGGACAGCGCCCAAGCCCAGAGTTCAAGCCCCACGACCGACAAAAATAAAAAAAATAAAAAGTTTAACTTTAGAATCCAGAGAAAGTTGCTTGACAAAATCTAGGCTACATTATAGTAAAAGATACTTGCTGATATTGAATTGTGAAAACGAGGGAGAACTAAGGATAGTCATATCTGTACTGCTCAGTATACTGCTTGTTTAAGACAGGCTAAATGGAAGGACATGTAAAAGAAGAGAGCTGACATTGCAATTTGGTTTTGAAGCTGATCTCTATGTAGGGTAAAGACTCTTCTCTATGTGGATGAAGAACTGTATGAGCTTTCCTAAGTACCAAATGAATACTAAGGGGTTTTGTTATTGTTGTTTTGTTTTGTTTTTGTGAGTCAGAGTGTTGGGAAAATGGAGGAGAATGGAAAAGGAACAAGCAGGAATCGATCACCAACAGGCAAGGACTGTTTTTTGAGAAACAGGGAGAGGCACAGGCCTTCCTTCGAGTTTAGAGGTTGTGACAGAGTGTTGGGACAGGAGCTGGGTTTCATATGAGGTCTGAACAAGGAGGCAGAGATTAATGAAAAAGCCACTAACTAGGTCAAGGGATGTGGGGACTTTTCAGTTGGACCCACAAAGGGATGTTTACAGCTGGGTTTAGGGGGATTTCCCTGGCAGTTCACACATACCTGGGATTTTGCCTGTCTATCTATATGGATCTGGGAAAATAGGGTGGGGGGGGGGGTCAATCCTTCACATAGGGCTTGAACTCAGGGCCTCGGCACTGTCCCTGAGCTTTTTCATTCAAGTCTAGCACTCTACCACTTTGAGCCATAGCATGACTTCCTGTTTTCTGGTGGTTAATAAGAGTCTCACAGACTTTCTTCCTCCTTGGGCTTGGAACCACAATCCTCAGATCTCAGCCTCTTGAGTAGCTAGGATTACAAGGCGCAAGCCACCAGTGCCCAGCAATACTGAGTATTTATATGAGTATATACCACTACTCACACATGCCAACATAGATTCCACTTCTACTTAGGGCTTTGATTAGTTCCTTCAGATGCCAACCATCAGTGTAACTAGTAG